GCAGTCCGACTCGCAGTGGGGCCTCCACATTGAAGACGTGGCTTAGGCGGTGGGTGGGGGGTTGGGGCATTGCCTCACCCGTTGGCCAGTCTGACTGCATTTAAAGCAGGGACCCGGGGGTCTGCTGAGCTGGTTCTGGTGGGCATACTTCTTCTGTCCCTTGAAGGGGGTTTGCTGACCCTTTGGTTAGTGGGGGCTCTGACGGCAGAGGCGAGCATTTGGAATTCTGTTCCTTGCTATTTAGCTTCTTCGTCATGATTATTAAAAACCCTGAAGGCTAGATCTAGAAGTTGCCGTTGAGGGGTTTGAGGTCCATCTTCAGGTTCTTATAACTTTCTCCTAGTGTCTGGGGCCGACTGAAAGATGAATCTCAGGATTAAATGACAGTCCCTTCTGGGCTAGTGGGGTCTAAGTTAGTACATCTTCTCGTGGCCTGTGTAAGGTGGGATAGGAAGGTTGCAGGGTTTTCATTCTTTTCCTAGATGATGTCAGACAGTTTTTCATAGTTAACAGCCTTGTGTGAGGCTTTGTAAAGTCCCTCCATGAGACATATTATTGTGTGGTCCCTGGCTTTCTTACCCACCCCATTGTCCTGATAATTCCACCTGGGGCCCTGGCTAGGGACTGCTTGGGCCCCTACCGGGTCACGGGGGGCCTGTCGCCTCAGATTATCGGCATGGCCCTGGGCACTAACCCAGACTCTATTTTTATCTTCTGGATTAAGGGTGGAAGAAAGAATAACATGAATATCATTCCAAGTTAGATCACAGAGCTGCGTAAGGTCCTGGAATTCCTGAGTGGAGTTGGTGGGATTCTCAGTAAAGGATCATCATCTTTTATTTATTTGGGGCAAATTTGAGAGAGAGAAGGGGACATGATCTCTGACAACCCCTTCAGCTCCTGCTGCTTCCCCCGGGGGACAGTCTCAAACGGGGACGAGGTAGGGGATGGATAGGGCCAAAGATGGTTCCTGATCACGTGGGAGGAGTCGAAACCGGAGTAGGCGGTCAGGGTGGGGTGCGGGCCGCAGCAGGGGCTGGAGAAGGAGGCCCTGTCGGAGGGGCTGAGGGGAAAGGTGGTGGAGCGAGATCGTCTGGGTCAAAGCAGGAAACAGGAGAAGTTAGCGCTGTCTTCAGAGGGAGGTTTGGGAGGATTAGAGTAGAGTAGGAAGATTTAGGAGGGGGAGCGAGAGAGAGTCGCATAAAGAGGGGCCTGGCTGCAAGGAACCTCAGACCATTTTCTTGGCCTCCAAAAGGAATTGTCGATGTCGGTGAGAATGTCGAACATGCGGTTCTCGGGCGATTGTGACCCATTGTCTACTGAGGCCACACAGTGTTGCAGTGAAAGATGCACCACTTGGGACGTGAGTCCTGAGCGCGCCCTGGGTCTGTACACTTTTTAGGAGACATCCTGGGGGTGTTGCATGAGGGATGGACGATGGAGCATTTCTCACGTTGTGGTGTGAGATGTCGTGGCCTAGTGGTCTGACAGACACACTGATGGAAGAAGAAGGTGTCCCCCCTTCTCCCCTAGAGCAGAGAGATGTGCAACTCACCCATATCAGGCGTCCCTAGTTATATGGTGAGCTGAGGGGACCTGGTTCCCGAAAAGCGTGTCCCGACCAGCGCTGGATTTCGGGAGGAACGATCACACAGACATGACCGAGAGACCTGGCTTTCTTATGTCCTGGATGGGGGGCAACAGGACAGCCCAGAGAATCAGACTGGTGGGCAGAAATGCTCCCCAGCCAATTAGTGTCCGGTGTTGATGCTGGGTCGGCAGGAAAGGTTGGAGGTCTGGTGTCCGGCTAAGGATGTGATCGGTCCTGGTCCGAAAAGAGGCCTGGAGGACTCCAGGGGCCCGTGGTTGCCCCCTATGCGGGATCCTCACAGACCTCCCGGGTTCGAGCACCAAATTAAAGGTCTGAGCCGGCAGGAGATCACATCCACAACGCAAGGCCAGTGTAGAGCAAAACTATTTTGTTGCCTACGCCTGGGTGCAGGCAGGCGGAGCCCCAAAAGGGTCAGCCTCAAATAACAGTTGGGGTGTCGGTTACATACTCTACTTCTAGCTTCCAGCAGCTCCTGCTGACGAACTCTGCCTGGGCCATTGTCCACTTTGCAGTTGGACTGGTCTAGTATCTCGTCCCGCATCTGCCGGGTGATTCACTGTCTTGTGGATAATCGGACAATCCTTACACAACAGAAGTCTGAGCAAAGGTCTTGCAAGGAACACATTTTCAGTTTCCACCTTTTGCAAGGTTTTCCCTTGACCCTTTAAAACGTTATTAACCCCTGTAGTCGGGCAAGTACCCTTCCCCCTCCCCACCCCTTTTGTTGAAGCTCCTTGGCAGGAAATCAGGGGGTCTGAATCTCAGAACAGCTTGAGAACATCCAACCAACATCAACCAGCACACATTCAGCTTCTGGGCCTGGTCTCAGTCACTAGGGGGCAGTGTTTGAGAGCAAAGCAGCCAGAAGAGCAACAGGGCTGTCCTAAGAAGAAGGTGGTCCCCAGAGCGCCCCCCCCTCCCCACTGGAAATCGAAGTGGGTTTCTCTTTCCCACCTTCAGGCCCACACATCAAAAGCTGCCTTGAGCCCTGGCCGGTTTGGCTCAGCGGTTAGAGCGCCGGCCTGCGGTCCGGAGAGACCCGGGTTCGGTTCCCGCTAAGGGCATGTACTTCGGTTGCAGTTTGTCCCCGGCCCTGGTTGGTCGTGCGGGTGGCAGCCACTCGATGTGTCCCTTCACATCGATGTTTCTCTCTCTCTCTCCCTTCCTCTCTCTCCCTCCCACTCTATCTGTACAAAAAATGGAAAAATATCCTCAAGTGAGGATAAAAAAAAAAAAAAAAAAAAAAAGCTGCCTTGAACATTACTCGATAGAAATAATTAGGGAGCACAGAGCCGTCCCCCAAGGCATGTGACACTCTGGATCAACACGCCCTGCCCTGAAAACCCCTGGGGCTGTGTATATGTTTTGGGATCCGGGACTTTTCAGTTTCCAGAGGCAACGTGGTTTATAGCCCACACAGCACGCCATACCCTCAGTACCTTGCGCAACACTTGGCAGTAACCCCATCAGTGTTTCTGCAGGAAAGAGATGAACATTCCCACCTGGCGGGGAAATTGTAAGTGACCCCACTGCCAGGGCGGGTCAGGTGCTGCCGCCTCGTGAGTCAGGGGAAAGGACTCTGGTCTAACAGCTCTTCGGGTTTCAGAGTTGAGAAGAGGGACTGGGAAGCTGTCCATGACACCCATCTGCTCAATGAGGCAACCTTGGTCCAACAGGTCGGAGAGACTGCCCGCATCCCTTGACCACGGCCTCGACTGCATTTGTCCACTCCACTGCCGCTGTCCGTCACACCCTCCTCACGTCTTTCAGGCTTTCCCCCCGTAAAATCCCAAACCCAGCCACGAGCTGTCATGCTTGGAGGACGAAATGGATTCACCCTTTCTCTGTGGGCTTCAGTTTCCAGAGTTTTAGCCAAGCAAAGTTCTGTTGCAGCAAACAGCCTTACATAGACATCCTCAGTTAGCTGCCTCTGCGTTGTTTTCACAAATTGATTCCCAAAAGCAGGACAGCTGGCTCACAGGGTCTGTCCAGTGTTTATCTTGTCCCATTTGAGGTGATATTTTCTGTAGGGTTGCAATTCACAGCCTCAGGAGCGGCGTGTTTGCGCGCCCGGGTCACCTCCACATCCTTGCCAGCGCGAAATGTTAGCACACCCGTAATTTGATGAGAATGGGGTGGTGAAAAAAAATTCCAAATTGCAGTTTCTAATTTTCAGGGTTTGAATGTCTTCTCGTCCGCTCACTGGTGTTGGGATTTTCATTTCATTGAATGTTCAACTTAGTTGCTTGTTCTTAAGTTGGATGCCTTTTTGTTTGTGGAAGATTTGTCGATGATAGTTATGTGTTTAGAGTTGTATATTTCTTTGATATATGTATTTCTTTATTTTTTAAAAAACATTTTTCTTTATTGATTTTAGAGAGAGAGGAAGGGAGAAGGAGAGAGAGAGAAACATCGATGAGAGAGAACATCAACGGGCTGCCTCCTGCATGCCCCCCACTGAGGATCAGGCCCACAAACTGGGAACGTGCCCTGACCAGGAATTGAACCGGTGACCTCTTGGTGCATGGGTTGATGCTCAACCAGTGAGCCACACCAGTTGGGCCATATGTATTTTTTCAAAGAACAACACAATTTGCCCCTTTAGGGTATTTTTATCATTCCACCATTTGTCAAATAGATTACCTTTTCCTTTCTAGCTTTACGATATCTTGTTTAAAATCCACCCCAGCCCTGGCTGGTGTGACTCAGTTGGTTGGGCTTCATCCCATGCACCAAAGGTTGCAGGTTTGATTCCTGGCCAGGGCACAGGTGCAGGTTGTGGGCTCATTCCCCTGTAGGAGGTGTACAGGAGGCAGCCAATTGATGTTTCTCTCTCACATTGATGTTTCTCTCTCTCCCCCTCCCTTCCTCTCTCCCTCTCTCTCTAAAAAAAAAAATAAATTTTAAAAAATCTAAAATCTACCCCATCCAAGCGAAATATACAGTATACAAAATTCTCCTTCCTCTTGAAAGACTTCTGTCCCCTTGTCTACATTTAGATTCTCCACCCATCTTGTATGTAGAGTGTTTTCTTCCAGATGGAGGTGTTAGCAGAGCTGTGAAACCAACCGGGCCTTTCCACCCTGACTTGAAATCTGTCTTCTGTCAGATAGACACACACTGAGGTCTATTTCTAGGCTGTCGATTCCGTTCCAGGGATGGCTGTCTTCCTGAGTCAGGGCACGTGGGCTGCTTTTAGAATGGGGCGGGGGAGGGGGGGTTTAAACAGCGATCCCTTTGGAATCATGCAGAGCCTGACCAGGAGCACAAACGCCCCAACAGCCAGGAGGTTGACCTGAAGGGTGCGTCTGCCTGACCCAACCGGGAAGCCAGATCAGGGAGGGCAGAAACAGGAAGGAGCCAGCTGCTTGTAAAATAAAGTCTTCCCTTTTATTTCAAATCAACCCATTCCCAAGTTAGTGCTGCAAGTTGGGATCAGGGGGCCTAAGCCCACCGGTGCGTGGCGGGGGCGGGGGTACTGATGTTCCTTCGAGGATGGCCCTGGGGGCCCAGGAGGAGGGGCCCCCTCTCTGGCCTTCTCCCAGGGCATGTCGAGAGGGCGGGCAGGGAGGCAGTCCTGATTGGGGTGTCCGTGGCCAAGGGTGTTGTTAGTGATGGGGGCCCAGTCAGGCTGGGTTAGTGGGGTCTTCTCCGGCAGCCAGGGAGGGAACTGCAGAGAAAGGCAAAGACAGGGCACCGGACGCTGGCAGGAAGGCCACCACCATGCCCAGAGTGGAGAGGAGGGTGAAGGCCGGCGTGGAGAGCTCACCGAGGAGGGGGGACAGGCTCCAGTCTGGCGTGGAGAAGAGGCTCAGATAGAAGACTGCCACTGCACGAAGCGCTTGGATTCCTGTGCGGGTGTGGGGTCAGAGGAGGGCATGCTGTAGGCATCTGGCTGTGCAGTGTGGGCCCCAGCCTCCTCCCTCAGACCCAGGAGTCCAGGCCCCCAGCCCCTCCTCCCTCAGACCTAGGAGTCCAGGCCCCCAGCCTCCTCCCTCAGACCCAGGAGTCCAGGCCCCCAGCCCTCCTCCCTCAGACCCAGGAGACCAGGCCTCCAGCCCCCTCCTCCCTCAGACCCAGGAGTCCAGGCCTCCAGCCCCCTCCTCCCTCAGACCCAGGAGACCAGGCCTCCAGCCCTCCTCCCTCAGACCCAGGAGACCAGGCCTCCAGTCCTCCTCCCTCAGACCCCTCCTCCCTCAGACCCAGGAGTCCAGGCCCCCAGCCCCCTCCTCCCTCAGACCCAGGAGTCCAGGCCCCCAGCCCTCCTCCCTCAGACCCAGGAGTCCAGGCCCCCAGCCCCCTCCTCCCTCAGACCCAGGAGTCCAGGCCCCCAGCCCCTCCTCCCTCAGACCTAGGAGTCCAGGGCCCCAGCCTCCTCCCTCAGACCCAGGAGTCCAGGCCTCCAGCCCCCTCCTCCCTCAGACCCAGGAGACCAGGCCTCCAGCCCTCCTCCCTCAGACCCAGGAGTCCAGGCCCCCAGCCCCTCCTCCCTCAGACCCAGGAGTCCAGGCCCCCAGCCCCTCCTCCATCAGACCCAGGAGTCCAGGCCCCCAGCCCCTCCTCCCTCAGACCCAGGAGCCCAGTACCTGAGGGTTGAAAGGGTCGTCATCGTCTGTGTCATCATAGTCGTCACTGGGGTGCCACGGGGGCAGTGGCAGAGAAGGAGGATGGGGAATGCATCAGGAGGCTGCCCCCCAACAGGACCCCGCCCCACTCCTGTGTCCTCCCACTCCTGTGTCCTCCCCACCTCCTCCCCCTCCTGACCTGGGTGGGAACAGGGCCCAGGCTCGAGGCAGGCTGCAGAGGGCGGTGGCCAGGGCCCCCGCAGACAGCAGGGAGAAGAGCAGCAGGAAGAGCAAGCCTTCGAGGGTGTCTTCACACAGGCCCCTCAGGGCGGAGCCGTAATCCTGGGTGGGCGCGGAGGGCATCAGCGGGCATGCCACCCCTCCCCCTGCACACCTTGTGCATCCCTCACACTGGACCCCCGGCTGTGCAATGCTGGACAAGTCACTCAACCTCTCTGTGCCCGTTTCCTCCCCGTCAAACGTGCTCGGCACGGAGTCTGGCACACAGGAAGTGCTCAGCGCACAGTAGGTGCTCTGGTCACTGTCACTATTAACCCCACAGGTACGACCTTAAAGCTTGAGAAGCCCCCACCCCACCCCCACCTACTCGATGTCAGTAGCACCTCCCAGTTGTGACAACTGGGTCCCCACACATTGCCCAGTGTTCCCTGGGGAAAATCGCTGGCCTCGAACACCCCCTGGGTTGGAACTGCACATAGCGCGCGCTTGGTAAATGTTAGCCATCACCCCTGGAAATCACCAGGGCCCCCACTGCCCGGCCTTCACACATCAGCCAGGATTGGCCAAGGGCCTGCCCTGTGCTGGCCCTGCCCCAGGTTCTGGGAGACTTCAGTAACTAGGCCCCACTGAGCTAGTGAGGGAGGCAGACCTGGGGTCCTACAGCCCAGATGACACCGACAGGAAGGAGCCGGGCCCAGGGGCGGTCTAGGAGCACAGAGACAGGCTTGTGGGTGCAAGGGGCCAGGGCCGGAGACCAGACAGGGCCAACCACACAGGCCCTTGTTGGTCCCGCGAAAGCAGAGACATTAATCGGCATGTGCAGGAGAATCACTGGAGGAAGGACTCGGTCCGATTGTGTTGGAAAGGCTCATCCAGCTGTTGGCTGCTGCTGGGAGAGCAGATCGAGTGGGCAAGCAGGGGCCAGGGCAAAGGCTCCTGCCACTGGGCAGGAGACGAACAGGGCGAGGGCCAGGACTGAAGCTGTGGGTGGTGGTGTGAGCAGTGTTCGACTCCACATGGGTGTCGTAGGAAGGGCCGACAGAACTTGCCGGCAGAATGGTTGAGGGAGGTAAGCACAGGAAGCAAAAGGGATCTCCGAGGTTTCTGGCTTGAGCCCCTGCGTGGGGGTTGGAGACTGGCTGGTATTGAGCCAGTGAAACCCAGGGGAGAGGCCACCAGGGCAACAGCACTCTGCTTTGACTGAATTGGACACATACACAGTGTCCTTTCATGCTCTGGACCGCCCTGCAAGGCCGAGCTCAAGGCCGTCTCACGCGGCTGCCTTCTGCAGTGCCAGAGAGGGCAAGGCACTTGCCCAGAGTCACACAGCCTGGAAGGGGCAAAGCTCAGATGGGAGCCAGGTCTGCCCGGCTTCAGAGCCCACCTGCTGCTACATCATCCTTACGATCCCTCATCCTGATTTTATTGATTTTTGTTTTTTTGAGAGAGAGACAGGAAAGGAGGTGGGGGGAAGAGAGAGAGAAACACCAATGTGAGAGAGAAACCTCTTGTATGAAACCCGACCGGGATTGAACCAGCAACCTGGGTATGTGCCTTAACTTGGAATAGAACCTTTGACCTTTCGGTGCACAAGATGATGCTCAACCAACTGAGCCACGCCGGCTAGGGCCCCTCATCCTGATTTTAATGTAGGGGATCCCCCGAGGCCCAGATGGGGAAACAGGGTCATGTGATACATCAGTGGAGGGCAGAGACTCTGCCCCACCCCCCTCCCTCCCTTCCCTCCTTCACAAGGAACCTCGGGCTGTAATCCAGCCCAGTGTCCAATTAGACCACAGAGAAATGCGTGGACTGTTTGACTAAAGAGCAGGGTGGACTTTGAGGACACCCCACCTTTCTCAGCTCTGGTATTCAGCAGCTCTGACTGTTGACTCAGTGCCCTGCCCCCCACTGCAGTTTCAGAAGCTTTGGGGGCAGTGGGAGCCATGGAAGGGATCGGAACACGGCCAGGAACAGCTCAGACTCATCCTGTGGGACAGATGGATCCCTCTGGGGGTCGGGTTGCCAGACCAGACACACGACATCCCGTTAGATTTGAGTTTCAGATGCCCAACAACAACTGAAAGTTAGTACAAGTGTCGCCCTAGTGTGGCTGGGACATCCATAGAATAAAAAGGTATTTGTTGTTTGCTGAATCTGGCAGCCCTAGTTAAGAGCCCCTCCAGGCACAGACAGGAGGGGAGGAGACCTCAGCAGAGAGGGGGAGGCTGTAAGCTGCAGCAGGCCCTTGGGGTTGGGGGGGCGGGGGGACAGTGGATGAAGAGAGGAAGCAGAAGGGGCAAGATTGGATGACTGGATGGCTGGCTGTGGGGGCTAGGGGAACCAGAGGGTGTACAAGGGCCATCTGTGTGACCTCGGGTGACCCAGTCCTGAGTACCTTGTAATCCAAGTCTATAAAACACAGCAACAGCAGTTCCTTCTTTACAGCATTGCTAACGAGGGCTCGGTGAGTCACCACCACTAAAATACCCCAAAGCCCAAACTTAGTCAAGCCCACGGGGTACACCGGGAGATGACTGATTTTCTCCTGAACCCTCACAACCACCCAGTAAAGCAGGTGTCCTCACCCTCATTTCACAGGTGAGGAATCCGAGATTCAGGGACACGCACCTGCCGGTGACCACACCACCCACATAGAGCCCAGACGGGAAGGAGGCTGCAGGACACCAGGCTCTCTTTCTCCCTGGCGTCCTGCCCATCCCTGCGAGAGCACACACCGGGCCTTCACCCCTGAATCCCAATTTTATAAGTGAGGCACAGAGAAGTCAGTGACATGCCTGAGGTCGAGAACTAGGACTGGAACCCAGTCTCAGTGCAGAATTCACTAAGCTGCACAGCCTGGGGGGGGGGGGGGGGGGGCAGCGAGGAAGGGAAGGGAGGAGAAGAGGAGGAGAGGGGAGGAGAGAGTAGGTGGACTGGAGCCGGAGGAGGGGTGAGGACAGAGCCAGGGATGAGGGGTGGGGAGAGAGGGCGGAAGGAAAGAAGGAAGAATTCTAGACTGGAGATGGTTCATAGGTAGAGCACGCTACATGCTCTATAAATAACAGATTGACAGATAGCTCTCTCAGGGGAAGACTGGCAGGGTGGGAGGTGAGGAAGGAGGCCCTTCAGGGTCCAGGCAGACGCTCCCCTTGAGAATAATTTGGAGAGGGGTCAGGGGGTCACCTTGTGCAAGCCTCGACAGTGCAGTAGCGCCACCAACTGGTGGAAGTTTCCTTCAGTCACATTCAACGTCTCCTCCAAGGACAGCAGCGGCTTCTGCGGTGGGAGGGGGGTGGTTATCCCACCTACTCCATAGGCTTGTGGGTCCCTGGGGCCCCGCCCACCTCTCCAGGCCCCGCCCACACAGACAGACAGACCACTCCTCTTTATTCAGGCCCCGCCCACGGCCAACCCGCCCCCTCCGGGGCCCCGCCCATACATCGGGACCACGCCCCCGACCCGCCCTTCCAGTGGCCCCGCCCACAGCCCCAGTCCCCGCCCCGCCCCCGGGAGGCGGGCTGCTGGGGCGGCGCGCACCTGCGCCGAAGGGAACTGGGGCACCGCTTCTCGCTCCAGGCCCTGCAGCTGGGAGTGGATGCTGGCCAGCGCTCGCTGGGACAGGGTCAGCCTCTGCGGGGACACGCGGAGGGAGGAGGACCCAGTGCTCCACGCCTCCGGCCCACTCCTCCCTCGGGACAAGGGACTGGGCCCCGGGCGCCTTCATCCCCCCGCAGAACCCCTACGCCCAGGCCCCCGCCCCGCGCTTTTCCACCCGCTTCCCTGGCCCGCAGCCCTAACCTGTTGGAAGGGGTTGGAGACGGCCTGGTTGCAGAGGAAATAATAGTTCAGGATGTCTGAGGCGGGAGGGGAAGAGGGGGAGGCCGTGAGCCGGGGCGGGGCCTCCCTGGGGGGAAGGAGTTGCGGGCAGGGGCACCCTGACTTTCCACCCTCAGGGCCAGGGGCCCCTCCCCAGGTGAGGACCCTTCGGTGGTCCCGGGGGCATTCGGAGACTGGCCACTCGCCCGGCCCCTAAAAGCTTCTGCTCTGGCCACAGCCCCAAACGCGCTGGTCTTCACGCTCCCTGGGAGCCCCCGCTTCCAGGCCCTGGGCTGGACTACAGGTGCCCCTGCCTGTTTCTCCAAGCGGCCAAATCCTCCATCCCTGGGGCCCCACCCCGACTCCTGAGCCCAGCATCGTTATCCTTCTGTCTTTTCTAGCCCACCGGGGAGGTGCTGAGAGCTTCCCAGACAGGACAGGCCTGTCTGACAGCTTGGCACCCCACCCACCGCACCCCAGGCCTGAGCATCCAGGGTGTGCACTGGAGCAATGGGGTCACCTGAGTCAAGCCCAGTCTCCTCCTGGGTCAGGTTCAGGATGAAGTTGTCAGGATTAGTGCAGAAGTCACTGAGGCCCTGAGAGAGGCAGCAGGAAATGGTGCTCAGTGCCACACCCCCATGGACTCAGGGCCCCCCTGCCCTCCTCCCCGAGACCAGACGTCCAGACCCCCAGCCCCTCCTCCCTCAGACCAGGAGTCCAGGCCCCCAGCCCCTGCTCCCTCAGACCCAGGAGTCCAGGCCCCCAGCCCCTCCTCCCCCAGACCAGGAGTCCAGGCTTCCAGCCCCTCCTCCCTCAGACCCAGGAGTCCAGGCCCCAGCCCCTCCTCCCTCAGACCAGGAGTCCAGGCCCCCAGCCCCTCCTCCCTCAGACCAGGAGTCCAGGCCCCCAGCCCCTCCTCCCTCAGACCAGGAGTCCAGGCCCCCAGCCCCTCCTCCCTCAGACCAGGAGTCCAAGCCTCCAGCCTTTCAGGACCTAGGAAAACAGCCTCAGACCTCAAACCCTGTCACCCTGACCCCCAAGTCCTTCCTCTCAGGACCTAGGCCCTGGACTGCACCCACCCCAGGCCCCAGGCACTCCTGTACGCACCACAGCAGTAGCTGCCTCCAGACCCAGGGAGCCCCAGCTCAGGACAAGGACCACAAGGCTCATCACCGTCATCCTGTGGGGGAGGGATTGGACTTGAGGTTCTGGGCTTTGAATCTCTCCACCTGCCTCTTCAATTCCCCCACCCCAAATCCCATCACAGCTCTCCCCACAGCCTCTGGAGCCTGGAGCATGAGGACTAGGGACAGAGAAGTGGGAGGGAGGATGGACTTGTGGTTGTTGACGTCAGACTGAACATCTGGTCCCTGCCCAGGGGGATGGGGGACAGTGAGAAGGGCCTGAAACTGGCAGAATTCAGCCCAGCTCTGCCCCATCTCCTCTGGGACCCACCCTGAGGGTCCCCGCTGCTTGGCCTCTTTTCCTGGCTTTGAATTTCACAGAACCCCACTTTCCCCAAGCACACTCCCAGGGGAGACAGCGCCAGGGCTGAAATCACCTCCTGGTTTTTCTCTGGGGATGGGGTTTGCGGGGTTAGCAGGGGGGGGGGGGGGGTGGCAGGCGAACCACGGCCCTGACTGGCCAGAGCCATGTTTTAGGACCTCTAAGCTTCACAGGGTCACGGATGGAATCTCTCACCCCAGGGAGAGTATGGAGATGACCGTGGGCACCAGCGTGGCCGCCCCACCTCCAGCACCACCTCAGGGGCAGGGAGGAGGCCAGGGCTCCTCCAAATGGGACAGGCCGGCCCAAGATGACTTCCTGGCTGGGTGGCCCTGGGCAAGTGGCCCAACCACTCTGTGCTCCACTGTCCCCCCCTGTTCAATGGAAGGAAAATGCCTCCTGATGGGGTCGGGGTGAGGTTCCAGAAGAGTGTGGGGCATGCCGAATGAGCGCCAACGCCACGTCATGGCCACGCAGCCTCAGACACGGCCGCCTCCTGCCTCTGGCCCCTCCTCCACAGGTTGTCATGACAACCAAAAGAGTCAGCGTGCGTGGCCTTCAGTGGACCTCGGTGATCTCTGCCATCCTGAGTACAAGCCTCAGTCGTGTCCGGACGAGCTTTCCCAGGCTCCCCTGCAAGGCGCCCCCAGGCCTGGTTTCTCTCCATGTGGAGGTCATGGAGGTTCGTGGGATGAAGGAATGAGCCAGTGCGAGCCCAGGAGGCCCGTGGTCCCTCTCTCAAGAGTGCTGTGGGCTCTGTCCGGTGGTGCTCAGTGGTTAGAGAGTTGGCCTGTGCACCAAAGGGTTATGGGTTCAATTCCCGGTCAAGGGCATGTACCTGGGTCGCAGGTTTGACTCCCAGCCCTGGTCGGGGCACATGCGGGAGGCAACCAATTGATATGTCTCTCTCACGTCGATGTTTCTCTTTCTCTCCCTCCCTCCCTCCCTTTCACTCTCTAAAAATCAATGGAAAAATATCCTCCGGTGAGGATTAACAACAAAACAGAACAAAGTGCTGTCCCCCTGTGCTGCGACGTGAGCCGACCAGGGCACCCAGACTTACACGATCACCAGCCACTTGCTCTGCTTTGCCAGGCCCAGGAGGGTGAAGAGGCAGACCAGGAGCTCCAAGAGCAGCAGGAGGACATAGGCCAACCACCTGGGGAGGGGGGGACACGGGGGTGCAGCTGAAGAGGCCAGTCCAGCCTTCCTCTGGCTCCCAGGCCATGACACCCCCAGGCTGACACCCGTCTCTGCCTGCTCCAGGGCTCCCGGCCACAGCCCAGCTCACCTGTGACATGGGTGCCCTGGGAGGCAAGCCACCCCCACTCCCCATCTTCTATCAAGAGCACAGGTCCCAGGGCCAGAGCACCTGGGATCATAGCCTGACTGGACGACGCACTGGTTCTGTGACCTGTGACCCTGCACACGTGATGCGGTCTCAGAGCCCAGCCCCCACCCCACCCTGCAGAGTGGAGCGCCCAGTGTCCTGCTGCACAACCTTAGGGTGGGGTGTCTGCAGGCAGACTGCCTGGGTCTCCACTTCTTAGCTGTGTGGAACTTTGTCTCAGTAATGCTACCTCCTGTGCCTTAGTTTCCCCCCCAGTATGGGTGGGGGAACACCAGCTCTTTCTTTCTTTCTTTCTTTCTTTCTTTCTTTCTTTCTTTCTTTCTTTCTTCCTTCCTTCCTTCCTTCCTTCCTTCCTTCCTTCCTTCCTTCCTTCCTTTCGGTGGTACATGCCCCTAGCGGGAACCGAACCCGGGACTCTCTGGTCCGCAGGCCGACGCTCAACCGCTGAGCCAAACCGGCCAGAGCATCCATCAGCACCTACTTTAAAAGGTTGCAGGGAGCCCTGGCTGGTGTGGCTCAGCGGTTAGGGCACTGGCCTGCAGACCGAAGAGTCTCGGGTTCAATTCTGGTCAAGGGCATGTACCTCGCTTGTGGTTCAGTTTGATCCCCGGCCCTGGTTGGCGTCTTGCGGAAGGCAACTGACGGATGTGTCTCTCTCACATCGAGGTTTCTTTCTCTCCTTTCCCTCCCTCCCTCCTTCCCTCTCTCTCTGAAAATCAGCGGAAACGTATCCTTGGGTGAAGTCTGAAAGAAAAGGTTGCGGTGAGGATGAGAACCTGTGAAGCACTTAGAAAAGGCCTGGACACACTTAAACACCAGCGTGAACGTGAATATGGAGGAACAGGGGACCTTTCTATCATAATTCAGTACCAGCGGATAATAAATCAGTCCGACTGGAGAGGAGCACGCCCGCGAGGCCACAGCTCAGGGCCTGGCGCATGGCGAGCGCCGGATAAGTAGCGTGTTCTCAGTGGCCCCACGTAGCTGTGCAGGGCTGGGGGGGGGGGGCCCGAGTGGCCCCAGGTGACCTCCAGGCCGTGGCTCTCCATGTCCCCATTGCCAGCTCCTGCCACCAGCTTCACTCCCACTTCCTTGATGGGCAGGCGGCCCATCTTGCTCTAAGCGGCGTGGGCACCTGCTGTCAGCCTCGGTGAACTCGGTGAACTCGGCCAGCAACCCTCTCCCACCCTCCAGGCAGACTTCCTTCCAGGAAACTGGCCGAGTTGTTCGAAGGACTGGAAAGGGCCAGGCACCCGAGTGTTGGTTCATCCAGAAGGTACTGCCTGTTGCTGGTGGGTCCGCCTCACTCTGGAGTGGTCTGCAGGACGAGCCCGGCCCACCCGGAGGTCACCTGGGGACACTCGGGCCCCCCCAGCCCTGCACAGCTACGTGGGGCCACTGAGAACACGCTACTTATCCGGCGCTCGCCATGCGCCAGGCCCTGTGCTGTGGCCTCGCGGGTGTGCTCCGCTCCAGTCGGACTGATTTATTATCCGCTGGTACTGAATTATGATAGAAAGGTCTGCAGGTCAGCCACCCAGCTGACCTGCTTGTGTAGCCCCTGAGCTCGGCCACCGCGTAGAACCTGGACTCACTGGGACCCAGGCCGGTCTGATGCCCAACGGGGCCTCCTCCTCTCGGCCTGCTTCAGCCCTGTCTGTCTCCATCCAGAGCGCAGAATCCAGAACCCAGGCTCCCCTCTCTACCCCCACCCCTGGGCCGGGCCCTCGGAGGGTGTCTTTTTGAATGAACAAGAGGAAGAACGCTTCGTGGACGAAGTAACTTGGACTTCATCCTGGCTGCTGGGAAGGGTGGCTGCCCAGATGTCTGCCTCATTTGCCCCCCCCCTTCCTTCACACGTCACCCATTCAGTCAGCGTGTGTCCTCAGCCCACCCCTTCCCTTGCTTCATTTCCTCCAAAGCTCTTTCCACCCACCACCTGATGACATTCCATTACGGGTCCCGTCCCTGGAAGGAGGAATCTCTCTCTGCCTTGTTCATCGCCCTGTCTTACGGAAACCTACGTTTTACAAACACCTGTATAACGCACGCCGGTCACTGCTGAAAGCACTTGACGGGTGGCAGCTCATTTGATCCTCAGCAATCCAATAAGGGGGGAAGGGTGCTACCCATTGTTCCCATTTCACAGATGGGGACACTGAGGCACAGAGCTGGGGAGGACTGGTTCGAGGTCCTGTGGTTAGGGAGTGGCCCTCTGGCTTCAGAGATCCTGTTCCTAACCACGTGGGCTGCCATCTCTCTCAAATCAATAAATATTTCTTGAATGGATACAGGTGTCAGGTGGATGGCTGAGGAATGAACTAGTTAACAGGCCAGTCCAGAAGGGAGGGAGAGCAAGAGCGAAGTAATGCACGTGGGAGTCAAGGAATGAATGAACGCGTGAATAAATGGGGGGGACTGGGTAAACGGATGAATACTTGGGTGTGAGGGCTGGGCATCACTTGGTCCGTCTCTCCACAGTCACTGCTGACACAGGAGGGGTCATCCCTGCTGTGGGGACCGTCCTGCGCACTGTAGGATGTTAAGCAGCCTCCCTGGCCTGCATTCATCAGATGCCTACTTGTGACAACCAATCACGTCTCCAGACATTGCCCAGTGCCCGCTGGGGCACAACCACCCCGGCTGAGAAGCCCTGCCACAGAGCGAGATTGGTCACCCACCTGTATTCCTCCACATAGGACACATCTTCGGCCACCTGCAGGGGGCTCAGGGGCACTCCCTGCCAGAAGGCCAGCCCCCGGAGCTGCTGAGCCACGGCCTCCGCCTGCCGCCGAGCCCCCCGGGTGGCAGCCACCAGCTCCGTGCGCTGCGTGAGCACCTCCTCCAGAGTGGTCAGCTCTGTCCTCACCGCCTCGCCCAGCCTCTCCACCGTCTCCAACACCTGAGCGCAGGGGTGGGTCTGCGGTCAGGGGATGGCATTCTCAGGGGGCCCAGGAGTGGGGGGCGGGGTTGTGAAGTAGGACCAAGCAATGGCAGGTGTCTGAGATCGGGGGCTAGGGCGTCTGTGAGTGAGGCAAGGGCAGAGGAGGTCTTCAGTACATTTGTGAATCTTTGTGACCTCCAACAGGAGCTTTGGGTGGTCAGGGGGTTGAGCCCCGGGGAGAGATTCAGGGCCCATGAGGAGTCGGTCTGGGTCTGGGAACGTAGGTCTGCCGTTCACATCTGCATTTCTGAGTCTGGGGTGCCTTCTGGGTTGCAGGGTCTGCCCGGGACACGAAATCTGAGGTCTGAAATCAGGCTGGGTCTCATCCGAGGGCTGGGGGTGACAGTGAGGACTCGGGTCTGGTCCCTGATCTCAACGCTGAGGCCCCCAAGTTAGCATTTGGGCCAAGAATCAGGTCTGGACCTGACCTGCGGGCATGGCACGAGTCATTGGTGTTCGGTCTTTGTCTGGTTTGGGCTCCGAGTTGAAGTAAGTCCAGGACCGGGGCCGGGGCCGGGGCCGGGGCTGGGGCCGGGGCCGGGGGCGAGTGTGGGGTCTGGACTTGAGCGCCCCAGAACAGATCTGGGTGTGGTTGAGAGGGGTCCCGTGGGAGGTCCTGATCTGCAGCCAGTTGGCTGCACAGCCTGGACATCTGAGCCTGGGTCCTAAATTTCAGGTCCGGGTCTCAGCTGAGTCTTTCTGCACGGGGGCCCTGGTCCCCACGTGGGGAACCAGTATGGGTGTGGGGTTTGGCCGCTGCCTGGCTCCTCACCAGGTGGTCAATGGCGTTGAGAGTGTGGTTTGCGTGCAACAAGGCCGAGCTGAGCTGGGCCACCCCATCACTGGTCTCGCTGTTGCCATAGAAACCGATGCCGATGCCGGCGCTGCGAGGAGGGACGGGAAATCACAACGGGTTCTGGGACCTCGGGGGGCCGCCGTCCCCCACGGTCTCACACACCCAATCTCGCCTCCCACCCCCACCCCATTGGTCCAGCCCATCGTGGGAAAAGACGTCTCCAGCCTGGCCCCCACTGGTTGCCACGGTAACAGGAAGACCTCACACCCCCGGCCCGAGGGACGTCATTGTGATGCTAATGTAGGTGGAGTGTCGAGGGGAGGGCGCCCGGGATTTAACTCGCACCTCACCAGAGCGGAACCCCCGCCCCACCGCCCAGGACAGCTGGCCCCACCCCCATCCTCCCAGCCTTTCCCAAGCATCCTCAGCACCTGTCCCTCCGGGGTCCAGCCGGCCCCTCCCCCACATCCTAGGGTTTCCCGGGGGACCCGAGCCTGCAGCTCCCGGCCATCCCCCACTCCCGGGACCCAACCTCCTGGCCAGCTGGGAGCCAAGCAAGGGAATGTGGGCCGATGGGCCAGGGCCGGGGCCCCCGCCCCTCCCCGGCCAACACACAGAGCTCCATTGTGGGCCTGAATCGGGCCCCTCCTCCGCTCCCCAGTGGGTCGCTCCGCGGAGGGGCCCGGGCCAGACCCAGGCGGAGGGAGCCGGACGCCCTCCCACTTCCCAGCCGGGCTGCAAAGGCCCCCACCCCCAGCCCTGGGACCCGACGCCGCGCCCCCGCCCATTGTTCCCCGTCCCACAAAGCTGTTCTTGTTCCCAGGGCCGCGGGGGCCGGCCGTGTCTCTCCCCCACCGGGCCTTTGTCCGCCTCCCCCGTCCGCCCCCACTCAGGAGAGCTTGGATGCAGGCCGCCCGGTCGCCTCCCTACATACACACCCCCAAACACAGACGCGGCTCCCTGCGGGGCGGGGGTGGGAGTCCGGCTTCCGGGCCACTCCCCCGGAGCGGGGCAAGTCTCTGGTGCCCTGGTCTATGGAACAGGGAACTGTCCCGCCCTGGTTGGGGAGGCCCCGCCGGCAGGGCTGGGCTCCGAGCTGGCCCCCGGTGCAGGGTGTTGTCAAGCGCTGTTCCCCCCTCTCCCCTGGGGGTGTCCCCGAGGAAGACCCTTGGCTCTCAAGGGTTTGAGGGTCTGAATCTCCGCTCTGTTACTTGGGCCACGTGTCCTTGAAATGTGGTCTTGTCCCTCTCCCTGAACCTTCCTCTTCCAAAAGGGGGAGGGACATCCCTAAGTTTAGCGGGGTTACTGCCAGAGAGGGAGACGGGCTCAGGGCTGAGCCGGGAGGAGGTGGTCTGGGTCCAGACTAGAGTTGTTGTCTGTCTCGCAAACCAGAACATCAGTGACCTCACCAGGCTTGGGCAGTCTCTCTTGGCACGTAGTAGGTACTCAGGTTGTTGAATGAATGAGTTAATAAATGACATCTCTGGGTAACATTTGCGGAGTACAGCTGTGAGCCAAGCACTATACCTTCTCTCATTTAATCTTAGAACTAGAAGGTGGGTGTTACTATATACCCATTTTAGAGATGTGGAAACTGAGGCCGGGAGGGGCTATATCACTCCCCCGGGGGTGGCACAGCCATTCAGGGGCAGAGCTACCAAACCCCAGCAGTCTGGCTGTCCAGCTCTTAACACTGACCTCGTCCTGCCAGGCCAGCTGCCCTGGGAAAGTCCCGTCTCTTGAACCTCAGTTTCTCCATCTCTCAAATGGGGACAAGCCTGCCTGCTGCTGAGGTGGAAAGACTGATAGCTTGGAGAGCACTGTCCCCACTCCCCACCCATCCTGGGGCCCCATTACCAGCTGACGAGAAGGGCAGCTATGCAGCTCCAGGTGACGCAGCCTCCCCCGGGTGGGGGGCTCTTGGTACCGGGGGGCTCCAGGGGCCGGCAGCAGCAGACGCGAATGAGGTAGGCAGCAATGAGAATGAGGCTGAGGCCCAGACCCAGGCCAGCCAAGGCCGCCACCAGCAACAGGGCCTGGAGAAGGGGCAACATCAGGCCTCAGAGGGGCTCAGGCTCCATCTCTGCTAGCTGGAGGGTGCGCACCCAGGGTCTCAGGGGAGGAAGGCATCCCTGGCTGGACTGGGGATGAAGTCCAACCTGTGGTATTCAGGTTTGTGGGAGAGAGAAGGGATCCCCAGCCCCCCGGGCTGAAGGCTGTGATTTGGGACTGGGTCTCTGGAGGGAACTTCCAACTGGGAGGCCCAAGTCTTGGGTTCGAGTTCTGCTCTTTCCACCCATGGTTGTGTGACATTTGGCAGAAGCCCTCTCCTCTTGAAGCCTCCGGTTCTTCCTCAACCGGGTAGTTGTATGTAGTATCTCAAAGGACCCCATCTGGAACTAGGGGATCAGGGGGCGGGTGGGGGCACCTTTTCCTGGAGATGTATGAGAGGCTGAGGGTGGCAGGCTTTCTGGCGTCTCCTCCCTGCTGGTCCTCCCCACTCACTGCTCACTCTCTGTGCCCTGCTGCTGAGCTCTGCACACCCACCACCGTGTGAGTCTGTCACCCAGGGACTCACAGGGAGAGGGGCGTGACAGCCTCACAGAGTGTGTGTGCACGTGTGCATGCCTGTGTGTGCAAGACACAGAGGTGAGACCGAGAGAGTGAAGACAGCAGGGGAGCAGGGAGGAGGCCGACTCACACGCAGAGAGAGAGAGATGGAAAGTAGAGACAGACAGGAGAGACAGACAGAGGGAGACAGAGGATGGAGGCAGAACCAAAGGCTGGGAGGTAAGAGGCAGAGGGAAAGCAAGCCCGCGGTTGGGTTGTGAAAGCCTTGCAGAGCACGGGGCTCTCCATGAGGCAGGATTTTGCAGTGGGTGTCCTGCAATCTTGTCATTGTCACAGATGCCCAGAGTGGGACATACGTTTACCTGGAGCTACACAGCACAGTAGGGACAACATCGGGAACAGAATCACTAACACGGTTTCCACTAACAGTGTCTCTGCCTTTGTCCTCCTGTGGTGTGCGTGTGTGTCACAAGTGTGTGTCACAAGTGTGCTTCTGGCTGTGTTATAAATGTGTTAACTTCGACTGAGCTTGTCATGAGACAACACACCCCAAAGTGTGTCTGTGTTAGCATGACTGAGTACAGGGATGTGTATAGGTGAGTATATATGTGTCTGTATATGTGAGTGTGTGAGTGCATATGTGTGTGTAGGAGTGTATGTGTATGTATATGTGTGCATATGGGTGTGTGTATGTGAATGTGTGTGAGTATATGTGTGTATATGTGAGTATGTATGCATGTGTGTACATGAGTGTGTGAGTGTATATGTGTGTATATGTATGTGAGTGTATATGTGCATATGTGTGAGTGTATGTGAGTATAGGTGTGTGTATGTGTGTGTATGGATGTGTGAGTGTGAGGATGTATATGTGAGTGAGTGTGAAACGTTTGTGCGTGTAGGAGTGTGTGTGTGCATATAAGTGAGTGTGTGCCTATATCTGTGTATATGTGAGGGTGTGTGTGTGTGTGTCCCCAGCTCAGCGTCACCCAGTCCCTGATTGTTTCCCAGCTGTGCCCACTTTGGCGCCCTCCCTGGGGCAATGTCCCCTCCTGGTGTGTGACACTGTGCCCTCCGGTCCCAGGGCTGTCCTCCTGGCTGTAGCCGGCGGGGAGCCTGCCTGAGTGCCGCAGGCGGTAGCTGGGTCCGGGGACGGTGTGCGGCTGTGTGCACATCCGCGTGGGCTGTCCCTTGGCCGTGAGCAGGCATCGGGAGGCGTTGGAGGTCGTGATTGTGTAACCGGGAGGCTGTGGGAAAGGGGCTAGCGGTCCTGTTTGGTGGGAGCGGGCACGTGCAGTACCGGGAGGAGCGGCTCAGACTGGCACAGCCGTGACCCAAATAGCTCAGAATACAGCGCGCACCCCCCTCTCTGCTTTCCTGGGACCCCCCCCCCAAAGCTTTCCAATTCCCAGCCCTAGTCCCAGGAGCTCCCCATGACATATCCAGGGGTCTGAACGGAACAGGCAGGGCCCAGGACCCATCCCGGGCCCCACCGGGACACCCCCCCCCCCGCACCCCGTCCGCAGCTGAGCCAAGCTTGCTCATTAATCTCAAAGTCAAGGGCTTGAATTAAACTGGGTCAGGGAACAGTTCTTTGGCCCCTATTGGCGCTGACCCAGACTGGGCCCCCTTTCCCAGGGACCCAGGGTTCCTTAAGCTTCCCACCCTCGGACCTGTGTCTGTCCACCTCCGCTCCCCAAACCGAACCTCGCCCCCAACTCCGCATCCCCGCCCCTCCAGCGCCCTGACCGTCCCTTCTGTCCAGAGACAGGCTCCAGTCTCCCAACACCTGCACCTCACATCTCCAGCCCCGGCCTTAACCCCTCACCCCTTCCCCATCTCAGGTCTCAGTCTTGTCCCAGAACCAGAACCGGGGCACCCTCAGCCTCTCCCTCTCCACCATGATCAGCTCCTCTCTCCCGGCCCCACCTTCACTGACTGTCCATCCTACGAGGGAGAGGTCATCTTTTAGGACACCTGCCCCCCCCCCCATGACCCTGCACGCTAGTCTCCTAGGTAGCTCAGAGACCCTGGAGGTCTAAGGGCCCCCAGTCCCCTCCCTCCTAGGGGACTCAAGGGTCCAGGCCCCTAGCCCTACCTTATTTAAGCAGCGAGGGGTCTGGTTCCCCCAGCGCCCGCCCCAGGGGAACCTCCAGGTAGGGGAGCTCAGGACGCGCCTCCTCCCTCCAACACCCCCAAATCGGGGCCAGGCCCCCTCCGCCGGAGAACGCAGGGGTCTGTCACCCGGCCCCCTTCTCCCTCCGGACCCAGAACCGCTGGCCCCCAGACCCCACCCCCAGCCCCCCGGCCCGCTCCCACCTGCTGGTATTCCTGCTCTTGGGGCGCGAAATCGCTGGGCACCGGGCGGAGCTGGAAGTCGGCGCGGGGCAGCTGGTGGAGTAGATGCACCCAGGCCGAGGGTCGGTAGCCCGGGGGCTCCCCCATGGCCCCCGGGGGAGGGCGTGCGGGGCCGACGCCGGGGCTGCGGGAGCCTCGGTGGCGGAGCGGGGCGCGGGCGGAGCGGGGTCTGGCGGGGCTCTGGGGAGTGGAGCCAGGGGGAGGAGGGGGCGGGAGGCGGAGATTGGAGGGGGGGGAGGAGAGGGGAGGCGCGGGCTGGGCGGGCCTGGTGCTGCCCCTGGCGGCTGCGGGGGGCACTGCGGCGCCGCTGGTGGGCCCCTGCCGGTCCTCCCTCTCGCTGAGGGCTCCCACCTGCGGCCCGCGCCAGGCCCACACCGCATCCTTGTCCCTCGAAGGCCGCTCATACTGTTATGTAATCTTACAACATAAAGATCCCTTTATCTTTAAGAAGAACCCTCAGGTCCGGGCAAAGGTTGCTAGTCTCTGCAGGGCATTTTACAAATGATGGCAGTTGCATGCACAAAAAGCCTCCCTTCTCTGTAAAGGACGCTTCCATTTGGGGTGGCGGGGACCCCAACGACACACAACAAAACAGCACCTGTGTAAGGACACAGCTTCTAAACACCAACTTTCTTCTGAGCGTATAGAGCATTTCAGAGAGCGTACCTGCAGACCCTGGTAAGGACCCTCTGTCTGCATAGGACCCCTCCCACCTGAAGGACCCACGCATTCCGCCTTTGGAAGGATCCCTCCCACGCGTTGAAGAGCCTCTCCAAAGGATTGTTTCTATGTCTATAAAGACCCCCGGCCCCTTGCCACTCATGTTAAGTTCACAGCCACTACCTATGCTGAGCTTTGAACCCCCTGATGCCACACCGACACCTGGGGAAGTAGAGACCCTCAGAGGGGAACCTGCAACGTTGATGTCACCACCCAGGTAGTCACAGTTGGGGATAATACTAAGATCCCCAGGAATCTTAGCCCCAGGAGTCCCCCACCCCTGTGGAGCAGGGTTAGACTTTGCCTTTTGGGGTCCTCACACCAGGTGTCTCTTGCGGGAAACAAAATGGGTGGGAAGAAGAGAGGGAGGTTAGTCCTCCACCTGCCTCATTCCAATATTTTGTCCCATACTGGTGAGAAAGGGCTGGGGGTCAGTGCCCATGACATTGCTAGAGAGAAAAATTGTGGTGGTGGTGGTGGTGGTGATGAGAATGGTGATGATGGCGATGATGATTTCATGGTGATGGTTATGGTCATGATAAGGATGATAATGACAGTGGTGTTGTGATGGTGATGATGATGGTGATGATGGAGACAGAGAAGAGAGGATAGCTGCACCCTGACTCACACACACACACACACACACTCACACACACACGTGCACACACACTCATCACTCCCTTTCACTCCCCTCAGGAAAAGGTTTGAATTGACTGAATCTTCCTCTCTCTCTGTCTGCTTCACCCTGGCTCTCTCTCATTCCAGCTCTGTTTCTCACACAGGGTTTGAGTCCCAGACACCTGCATGCTGATGTCTTTAGAGAATTGCTTTCTCCTGTGTCAGTTAAGCCCAAGACGTCCATCCTCTATGGAAGACCTGAGATGCGGTCTGGTAGAAATTTGCTGGCTTGACTTTTTCCTGCCCTTGTTCCCTGGGTACGTCTCTCCTGGGGAAGACAGATGCTTCTTCTAGGGTGGTCTTCAAGCATTTATTTCTGGGGCTCTTGCCTGACTACAATTCCAATACCATCTCAAACTCTATAGGTATTAATTTGGGGCTAGGGTGCCCGAGAACCCCCCCGGGTGGAGAACGGCTCAGAGCAATGAGGTGGCTTAAATAATCTCAGCCAATGCTTGCCATATGGGGGGAGGGACACAGCATTGCCAGATGTTCCAAACTGCCAAGAGAAGACAGAAATCTGGGTATTTTTAAAAGCAAAATCCCTCAGCTTTTAAATGTTAAAACTAATTCAAATTAAAAAAAAAAAAAAGTACTGTGTGGGCCAAATGAAACCTGTCCGTGGGTTGGAGCTGGCTGGTGTGTAATCACTGGTCTAACCAGACGCTGAGCAGTACAGCCTGGAAGGGGCAAGCAAAGGAAGAGGGTCCCCCAAGGAGGCTGAGAAGGAGCAGCCAAGGAGGTGGGAAGGAAGCCAGAGAGAGAGGCAGCAATGCCGCCTCCTCCAGGAAGGCTCCCTGACCAGCCTCTCTGGATGGAAGATGGGGCAGGTCCTGGCTCAAAGGCTCAGCATGGGCTCCCATGACATGAACTCTGGCTTCATGAAGTGGTTATGAGTGCCTGTATTATGAGTACATTTAGAAAATGTTCTAGAACATACAGAACTAATCTGTGGTGGCAAAGTCATCAGAACGGTGGTTACACCTGGGACAATGGGGATAGGGCTGAGTGGGAAGGGGGCGGAGGGGACTTCGGGTGATGGCATTGCATTATTCAGCAGCTTGATGCGAGTTTTGGTTGCACAAGGGTCTGTGTTTATAGTACAGTTAAGAGTTGTGCATCTCATGGCAAATTAACCTCAAAAGAAAACTGAACACTCTAGGGAATGGTATGCATGCTTAAGTTTGGGGTGGGGGGAGTGTAGTGGTGTCTGCAATTTCCTTTGAAATGGATCAAAAATAAATAAATAAAACAAGATGAGTTGACAGAGGGACACCTATGCAAGAAAGCAATGGCAGAATCTAGGTGTTGGGTATCTAGGTACTCACTGTAATATTCTTTATTTTTTTCCCCAGCTTTACTGTGATAATACCTATATGTGATGCTGTAAGTTCAAGGTGCACAATGTGATCATTTTATACATGTATATATTGCAAAATGATGGCCTCAAAAAAGGTAAGTTAATAAGGACATCACCTCACATGGTCACCTCTGTATGTGTGTATGGTAAGAACTTTAAAAATCTACGCTCTTAGCAGCTTGCTAAGTACAGTCTCATTAACTCTAGTCACCATGTTGTACAGTAGATCCCCAGAACTGGAAGTTGTACCCCTTGGCTACTTTTACCCATCCCCCCACCCCACCCTGGTAGCCACCAATCTATTCTCTTTCTATAAGTTTGTTTTGTTTTCGGTCTCACCTCTAAGTGAGATCATACAGTACTTGTTCTTTCATGTCAAACTTATTTCCCTTAACATAGTGCCCTCTAGGTCCATCTATGTTGTTGCAAATGGCAGGATTTCCTTCTTTTTATGGCCGAGTAATATTTCATTATGCGTGTGCATCGCATTTTCTTTGTCTGTTCATCATCAATGGACACTTGGGTTGTTTCCATTCTTTGGTTATTGTGAGTAATGAGGCAATGAACATGGAGCAGAGATATCTCTTCGAGATAATGACTTCAATTCTTTTGGATAAATCCCCAGAAGTGGCATCGCTAGGTCCTAAGGCAGTTCCATTTTTAAGTTTTTGAGGAAACTCCATACTGTTTTCCACAGTAGCTGCACCAGTCAGCATCGCCACCAGCAATGTGCTGGAGTCCCCTTTGCTCCAGGTCCTTGCCAGCACTTTGGTTTGTTTGGTTTGTTTGTTTGTTTATTTTATTTTATTTTTATTCTTTTGAAGTCAGACCAGACCTTGGTTCAGCAACCTTGGTTGAGTTTTGGCTAAGAAAGAATTCAGAGCCAAGACCCAGACTGTAAGAGAAAGTTTATTTAGAAAGTAACAGAGGTAGAAGAAGTGAGCCGTAGGACAAAATGGGCTCGGGAAACAAGTTACAGAGGCAAGGAAAACACACCTGGGGGGAAAGGGGGCGATGCAGGGATGTGCTTGAGTGTGTGTGTGTGTGTGTGTGTGTGTGTGTGTGTGTGAGAGAGAGAGAGAGAGAGAGAGAGAGAGAGACAGAGAGACAGAGAGACAGAGAGAGAGAGGGAGAGAATTTTGTGGTTGATTTGTTGATGATGGCCATTCTGAGGCAGGTGTGAAGTGATACTTCATTGTGGTTTTCAGTTGCATCTCTCTGAGGATTAGTGATGTTGAGCATCTTTTCATACGTCTGTTGGCCACCTGTATGCCCTCTTTGTAGAAGTGTCTATTCAGGTCCTCTGTCTATTTTCTAATTAGATTATTTTTTTCACTGTAATAGTATTTTAATGTTTCCGTATGTTTGAAAATTTTTCATATTACAATGTTGAGAAAAATGGCAGGGTATAATTAGAGGAACAAAACTGATAAAATAGTAGTGGATTATACACCAAATATGAAAGAAATATCCATGGGTCCAAAATGATGCAAATAATTGATTAAACGAAGTAATAAATGGGAGAGAATGGACAAGTCTTGCATGCAGAATTCCAAATAATTTATGTGGATACTCTGCCCTCGAGAAGGTGGAGAATAATCCCTATTACTTCAGGTTGTTGCTGAGCATAATGATGTCCTTCTAAAGGGAACATCATACTCAATGGGCAAAAACTAAAAGCATTTTCCTTAAGATCAGGAATAAGACAGGGAGGTCCACTTTCACCACTCTTATTCAACATAGTAGTGAAAGGCCTAGCCACAGCAATCAGACAAGAAGGAGAAATAAAAAGACAGTGGAATACTACGCAGCTGTAAAAAAGAAGGAGCTCTTACCCTTTGCGACAGCATGGATGGACCTGGAGATATTACACTAAGTGAAATAAGCCAGTCAGAGAAAGACAAATATCACATGATCTCATTTACATGTGTAATCTAATGAACAAAATACACTGACAAACAAAATAGGCCCAGAGGTATGGATACATGAAACAGATCTCAATGGGGAGGGGAGAGAACAGGAAGAGATTAACTAAAGAACTCACATGCATATATGCATAACCCACAGACACAGACAATAGTGTGGGGAAGGCCTGTGGTGGAGTGGGGGCTGGGTGGAGGGGAGCAAAGTTGGGAGGGGGAATAGAAGACATCTGTAATACTGTTAACAATAAATAAAAAATTTAAAAAGGCATCCAAATTGGAAAAGAAGAGGTAAAACTGTCATTATTTGCAGATGACATGGTACTGCATGCATCTAGAAAACCCTAGCCCTGGCTGGTTTGGCTCAGCGGTTAGAGTGTCGGCCTGTGGACCGTGGAGTCTTGGGTTCGATTCCGGCCAACGGCATGTACCTCGGTTGGGGT